ATTATAATGTGTAGGCGTACTATCAAGAGTTTATACATGAACATGATGAAGTACAGCGGGGTGCCCATCCAGTGTCATCCTGGCCTCCACTTCAAGTAAATAGTGGGTTTATTTATTTTATTACTGTACATGTTGATGATCTCAAAGTCAAAAGAGGGGAACTCACTGAGAACACCAAATGGGTCCACATTCTGTCATTCAAACTTCAAAGAGGAAAAGGGAAATGAAAGTTCATGCTGCGATTGCTGTCCAAAGATCAAGTAGATCATTATCAAATATGTTGTGATGTCTTGTGATATCATTAACAAGTACAAAAAAAGTAATATTTACTGGATCCAAATAGTTCAAATATTTTATGACCACATCAAATTGATCAATGAGTATTGATTCAGTCAATGATTCATGTTTGAAGTGCATTCTATGATTTGTCTGTTCAGAGTAAGAAGACTTTAACTCTGTGTTAAAGGCATCATTTAACAATGTTTAATCTGAGATGGACGGCCCTACGTGTTATCAGGGTCTGTGATAGGGTGTAATATTGAAGCTCTAAAATAATTGTGCTTCAAAATGATCATGAAGTGCCTTAAAAAAGTCATAATCCTTGAGTGACCTGTTTTATCATACTCATTTTCCCCAATAGACTGTAGTGTTATAAAAACCGTTAGGAAAGCGATTTTTGAAATTTTGATTTCCAATCATAAATATCTTGATAATCAGACAGGCAATCGGCTTGTAAAAGTCATGGGATTCCTAATTGACCTAAAGGTTTATAATTATGATTGCAGCATGAGCTAAATCCAGGATTTTGTTTCAGAATCTGAAGCAATGTATGTTACCGAGTCACCTTAAAACTTCCAGCTCGGACGCCCACTGAGAAAACTGATAAATTAGCGTGGAGCTCCGGTATGCTGTAAGTATGGTTGTTTTTCCACTTGGTGCAGAATTCCAGATAGACAATCTGCTATCATTGATCTGGAATATTGATGTCGATGACCAATGCCACTCTAAAGGTCACTGAGCCAATTTATTTATTGCATTGAAAATTCTTCCATGATCATCCCCCAACAATGTGCTAAACAAAAATCCTTTCATGTCCGAGCGATGTATTTGATATGCCTTGCAATATCTACTCTAGTCTCTATGCATTATACATGGAGCTTGGGAGCTTTTTATGTTGATATATCGCACTTGTAAAAGTTATATTATTCATGCAAGCAATGAAAAATTGTTTAGTATTAAAGTCTAGAATGACTTCATCCTATTTGCAACATACAGTCAGTGTACCAAGTGCAGTGTATGTGGGTGAATTTCCAACTATAGATCTTCTGTAAAATAGAGGAGCTTCTTGAATTATGAACAAGCTCTACACTGTTACAGGATATTTTGAAAGTGAACATGGGCCAATGAAATGAATACATGTATAGAACTGTCTACAGAACTATCATTTTAAATATATGCAACTCCACGCTACAACATTTCCATGAACTTAATTGTTATTGGCTGTGGCAAACATGAAAGTTTACTTGTCCGTGCAGGTATTTTAATGTTTGCATTTGGCATTGGACCTTCACTGTGTAACAGGTTACATTTCTGGGACTATATCCTAATATAGGTGTAACCGTGTTACCAAACAAGTCATACAAGCAACATTTATAACATTAATCAAAAACACACATGGACCAGTGTAAGTGTCCTACTTTGGAATATATTTTTTTGTTTGTGTGTGTGAATCGCTCAGAATTTTACCTGAACCAAATTATTGCTGTAATTACTTTGGAAGCTAATAACTACAATCTTTGCCTAAATTTACAGGTAATTGGGCGGTAATCTTATTGTTAAGCCCTGTTAAAAAATCGGTACAGTTTCTAAAGAGAGGGGCTTAGAAAGGATAACCTTTGAAGGGGCTAAATGGTACAAAATATTCTTCTTTTCCTCAGCCTCGTGGCTGGCTGCAAGGATTTTCAGGAACCCCATTCTGCTTCTTAACAATATTGTATGGTTAAATCTGTCCTGAAGTAAAACGTTTCCCTTGGAAAAAGTTTGAAATCAGTCATCCGCAAATCAATGCACTCTGAATCTTCTGGGTGAAAAAAAAAAAAATCATATGCTAGCTATTGTTGTGCTTGCGACTCGTAAGTCATTATGACAAAAACATGGCTTAAAAGAAAATGGGAGTTGCTAACAGAAGAGCCTTGGGGTACGAAAACACATAGAATGTACAAAGTCATTTGACCTCATCCCAAACGAGAAATTATTAATGGAGTTCCTTTGTTTCTTTTATCCTGAGGGAAGTGCCGTGTTCCATTGAGAGGCAATGAACCAAAACAAGCTCCCACGGAAAATAGGAAAGATTAGTGTTATGGTTAGGTAGTGGAGGAAGTCATAGGCTTATATTAAAAGTAGGTCCATGCTTAAATGTAGAGGAGAGCCAGCAAATCAATGCAGTCAGTGTGCTGTAGTACCACTGCAGATCTTGTCTCACGAGACATGCAAACATTTCTTACTCTTAGGCTTGTCTACGTACAGTTCATCAACGTTTACATTACAATACTGGAAATACACTGAGAATCTCACACTTGTTATGCCTTTTGTCCCCTACAATCCTTTTTAATGGACTAACTATTATAAGGCCTGCATAATATATTGGCATACAGAAACTTGATCTTACCAAAGAGAGCAAGTAACTCTTTTTAAAGCTAAAGACCAGTATTGGAAACGCCCCAATTTCAAAAAATGAAATGGAAGCTCTTATCATGTGAAAGAATATGTTTTGAATATTACATGATACAAATTTTGACGGGAAACCGCCTACTAATTGATATATTTGGTAAATTAGTGTATCTCTTGCCTGTTGAGAGATATGAAATGCACGTGTCGCGCACGTGTCTAACTTTATGAAGACTTGGCCAAATTTCTTATCATTGTGATGATTCCAGAACCTTGCAGTACGTCTATGCTAGAGGATCAACCTTTTCTGATCGATTTCACAACGTTTCTTTCACAATGCAATCGCATGACCATAACTGGTCTTTAGCTTTAAGTCTTAGTCACAAACCAGGTACGGTAGTCATTTTTCATTCCATGGTCATTCTAACTTCTATACTCCTCTGGGGGGGGGGGGGGGGGGGGGGGGGTTGTAGAACTATCACTCAACATCACAAAGCTTTTGTTGTCTAGGCATGCCATGTATTGTACTTAAATTTCATTTTCATACACCCCTTTTTCTCAAAGCATTTATAATCCCCTTTAGATTGGTAATGAGTGGGGTAGTGAGTTTGAACAGTCTTACAGTTACTCTTCATGTTCAAGAATATTTCTAGTTTCTACTTCAAGAAAATTGCATGCAAGTCATGATTGTTTTCGATTTTCTGTAGAATTATTCCTCTTTAGTCTGTGTCAAAGTGTCTAAAGTACAAAGTCACTAAAGCTATAGTGTTGCTTGTGACTCTGTGAAAATGCCAAATGGCTATCAAAACTGTCTAAAAATGATACTGTTGCCTCCTATCATGTACTTACATGTAGGTCCATGCTCCTATGCTTTAGACTAGAAGCATTAAAAGTAAAATGTCAAGAACAGCTGCCATAGTCCCACATATGGCCTTGACCAGTGGGGTTTCCTTGTATTTGCAGGCACAAAGCACTGCTCTGTCACTGTTTTGGGGCGATGGAATGGAGTCAAGCCTGGCACTGAGTAACTTCTTGGTTGGTCAGTGACTGAGGGGGCAATAATGCCATTGACTAGAATGAAAGCTATGTCATTGCATTCTCGTAATGAAGGGGAATTCAGCGTGATATTTAGTTTAGTCACCGTATTACAATTCAAAATATTTGGTAATGACATATATTAAGAAAGTCTCATTTCTTATCACGGAAATTCATTACCATCACTAACCCTTATGCCAAATGGAAACTATTCGATACTGGGTCATGGGTCTTTTCTTTATGTCTCAATAGTGCAAAGAAGAATGGAATACAGCTATAGTATGAGGCTCAATGACATTTCGATACTTCTTGGTAAGCTTACAAAGACAGTTTTCAGACAATAGTTGAGAGCCTGTGAAGTCTGGTTTCTATTTGAGAACATCGAAATGAGGAAAAGAGAAAAGAGAATCAAGGATTCTGTAATTTACACTGTATTGTGTTACTTACAAACATGTGATAAACATGTTGTAGTACTTCCATTCTAACAAGCCTTGCTGCTCAGCTAGTTTTGATCCGTGACAAAACAAGCTAAACACAGATAACCTGAAAGAGGGTTACCATGACAACAGTTTTGATATATGCCCTTCCCTTCGGTCATTAATTTTCTATGGGACATTCTATGCAGTGTTTATGACAGTAACTCAGATCATTTCCTGTTTCGATAGACCCATCTTGGAAACGTGATAAATTTATGCTGTTCTGACAAAAGGGCAAAACTGTTTCTAAGCATTTGTATTTATATCTATTAAATAAGAGATAAAAGAAAGATAGCATATCTATCAACAAATAAGTTATTGGTATCTATCTGGTTTCACTGGTGTGATAGAAATATAGATGTTGATGATACAGATTGTGCACAACTTTAGTGCTGCAAAGTAAGATCATAAATGTTTATAACTTTATGCCTTAAAGCTTATCTGCCATAGTTTACAGGAGGGATTAGACTGCCCTGCAAGGTCACTGGACAGGTGGTTATCTCATCAACTCAGCTCTCAGTTAACATAAGAAAACGAGGATCATGGGGGACCAATGGTCACCGATTATGCATTGTTTGTTATATAGAGGGCGCAAGTAGCTACAAGTAGTGCAGTGGGCCTTTAAAGTATTGATTGCTGATGCTTTGAAGAGTCTTTGCTAATGTGTATCACCTACACGTACATGTACATGGTGACTGGTGTAATCCAATCAGCAAAGACCTTTCAAAGCAGCAGGCATCAATAAATATAGGACTATAGGTAATTAATGCCAATTAACAACCCACACGACTCGGTTGCCCCTTTAAATCATTATATACATACCAATAAACTCGATGGCTTCAGGAAAGAAAGCTGCCAGATTCTGACTCCAATGGTCCATGATAGGAATCTGCATGTATTTGATCCCATTGTCCTCAAAGCAGTTTGGGATGTTGGGCGTAACATTCAGAACATAGCGTATTCTCAGTTTGGAGAAGAGTTCAAAGTTTTCACAATCCTGCTTGGTTCCGAGGTACAGGTAGGGCAGGATCTGGGCGGGGTATCGGTTGTCCAATGGGGTTTCTGCTTGCACCAACGTTGTCTCGATCTTGAGCCTGTCGAAGCCCAGATCTGTGAGAGAACACTCGTCGGAATCGCTGTCTTCTGAAGTTTGGCATAAGTGAGGGAACAGTCTGTAGAATTCGCTAAAGCCACCTAAATTTAAACAAATACAGCAGAAAATAAGTTATAAGAACAACCTACATGTAGATGAAACATAGTTCATCAGGAAAAGATATCAGAATACAAAAATTTCAAATTTAGTACGCACAATTGCACACATATTCTCAGTAAGCTGATTTTCCATTTAAATATTTCAGCATACAATAAAACCAGATACTGTCACAAGCTGAAACTTGCAAATCATTTCCTAGCAAATTGTGTGAATCTTAAAAAGTTCCAGATTAATAGAAGAAATGAAAGAACTTTAATAATTTCCAACCACATGTACCATTATTAGGTTAAGAGTTGACACAAACAGCCAAGAGAACCTAACCTACATTTTGATTCATTCTTTCATAGACTTGAAAAGGTTATAAAACGTGGGCGATATATAAGAAAACCTGAATACAAACATTGCATTCATCACACCCAAAGTATACAGCATGACAACAACATGACCTTTAAGCAAGCACATTTACACAATCTAAACGTAGACAAAAAAAATTCATCTTTAGATTTTTCTCCCACTGATTAAAAGAAGATAAAGATAAAAAGACCACAAGAAGAAGTTCCATCATGTTTTTCTGCTGAGCCTTTTCAATTATTCCAGACTCCGGATTCTACACAATGTGTGTGGGTGGACGGATTGGTTTGATGTAGAATGAATTGAATAGGTAAAGCGATGGAAAGAGCTCAGACTCCGGCCCACTAATCAATGAGTTCTCCTGAATAGGGTTATTTGCACATAACGCTCAGCTTAAAGCCTCTTCAATAGGACTCTCTTTTGCACCACCCATCAGCCAATGAAAAAAAAAGTTTACAATAGGGATCTTCTCTCTTCTCATGAACAGGGACGAAAATAAAAGGGAGACCAACAAATATGACGAGAGAGAGAGAGAGAGAGAGAGGGAGAGAAAATGAGAGGAAGGGATATGGTACAAAAGGGATGTACGTGTAAACTGTTCAGAGAGTAAGATATCATCTCTACTAGCATGGATAACTCTTTTTCAACCAACAAAATAGCTTAAGAAACATTCTAAAGTAAAGTCATACTAAACAAATTCTTTCTATTACGTATGCTGTGAGGTACACTGGTACAGTATAGAATAAGTTTCATAATATATAAATAGTACAGGAAGGAACACAACCTTAATGCATTCGATTATCACGGCGAAATTAATAGGAAGTTTCATAACTATGAACTATGACGAAAGGGGTAAAAATGGACTTTAAAAAGTCTCCTTTCAAAGAAGAAAAAGGGTTTGCATGTCGTTCTCCAAGCTACAGGAGCAACTGGGGTAGTAAACATGCTCATGGATAGTAAACAATGACCTTTTGAGTCTTTGGATGAGTGACATGTATTCCTAAAATTAGGAAATAAAAGATCAAACGGTTGTATTTCAAACTGACAAAAGTCAAGATTTACGACATCCAGTCAAGGAGCCTCCCCAGTGGTAGAGGTTTAATTGGGAAGGCTTGGAATACATGGAACAGAGCAAAGTGAGTGGGCTGAGAAATACTGAGAAGATAGCAAGGGATGTGTATATATAATTGGGATGCCAGCCTGCTGATGCACATGGCAATGGCATTATGGCTTTGGGGACTCAAGTGGGCAAGTTCAGAGTATAGGTGCACAACCATACACAAACGCTACATGTATTGACAAGTGTGTTACGGAATAAGCACACAGCTTGTTCTACATGCTGCATGTACAACTCCATATTTTATGATCAGAGGAGTGAGGACAGAATGGAAATATACTTTTCACTCATTTTACTACCGTACATTATTAAATAGTACATGGCATGTAATATTTTACCATTGTTTTTTCCTTGCCTTTTCTTTGGTAATTACATCAATAGTTGTTTTTTCTTCTTCAATCTACCAATACTGCAAAGGTGATCTGGCATACAGGTAACTGTGCAATTGCTCATCAGAGCCCATTCAAAAATCTGCTGGCAGAACCCTTTTTTTGCACTTGACACAGAAATGTGACGGATCATAATATTCATGTGCACATACAAAAAATTAGTTTGATTATTTAAGGTCTGATTTCAATTAATTCAACTTTAGAAACCCTTTGTTTATAAGGCCCAGCCATCTAATGACTATTTGTATCATCATATCTTTTTAAATAAAGTTCTAAATTATGTTGACATTAACGTACAAGTACATGTAAACTAGATATATATCTCTTGATGAATAAATATAATACTTTATACAGGAAAAAGCAATCATTTTCTAATTTTGAGGGCTACTTCTATAATTAAGTTTACAAACAAAATAGAATTGTCACATGTCTGGGTGAGTTTTCTTTCATTGACAAGAACAAACTAGGAACATAATATTCCCTGGTCTTCAATGCTTCAAACTGAAAGTAATGTTTAGACTGAGATAAAAGAACATCATCTGTAAACATGGGGAGCCCTACTGAGCCAGAATTCCTCAGACCAGCGGCGAGCTTATGGGAAGGGGACTCTGCATCATGGAGGAAATGTGTTCTCATTTCTCTTCCACTAGCTCAACAGGAAATATCAACTCAACGGGGTGAACTTCAGCTATTGGTGTTGATGGAATTCCTCCGAGATTAAGACCAAATGTCAAGCACAAGAGGCGAAGTAACACAAGTCCATCCTATCCAATATGTACATGTAATGCAAGTGTTGTGTTAATACAGCATGAGGCAATTTGGATAAAAGGTTCGGCAAAGTAAAAGATGAAAGTTGAACTTTGTGCTTTATCTTCGAATCAAATCAGTCTCATAATTTGCTACCCAATCAACGTGTGTGTAGGCCTGTGCGTACAACTTATATACTCTTACATATCATTCACAGCCATCAATTATCATCACAATAATTTCCCTATTACAATTAGGAAAACATCCATATTTCAACCAAATTTCCAGAATGTTGACAATTTCAAACATTTAGAAGCCAAATATATGACTACATGTACATTTGTACATGTATGGTTATGCATGGCAAATATCAGAAATGGTTGCCTTTTGATGTTTTGGTATGTAGATCAGATGCACTCATTAGTCACCTTATCAATGTAAACAGCAAAGTGATTACATCAATCACATCGCCAAAATGGTTCTTTAATGGTTTTCGTTCTATTCTGTTCATTGCTATATCAGCCCCACAAATCCTGTTAATATTTCAAGTGCTAATATAAATTTCATGTTTACTGGAAAAATACATGTAATCTTGTGACTTACTCATTACCTTAATCAAATTTCCACCCCATGCTTGATGTTTACACTGAAAATAACTAAAATGTTTTGTGTGTGTAACTACTTTACTTCCAATTAATTAACTTCATCATCACTATTTTCTCCTTTTTTTTCTTCTATCATTTGGTTTTGTTTACTCCCATCTGAGAACCACAGGTGTATCTTCCATTGATAAGTAATATCATTGTTTGATTTCATCGATTCGCCAATAATTTCAACAATTCTTCTCTTTATTACCGTAATGTAACTTACCGTAAAAGGCGTAATGACATTGCAGTATATTGAGTATAGCGAAATCCCAATTAAAGACAGAAGACACATGAAAGTGATACAGTATGAGGAGCTATCAATTTATCATGTCATTCTAGTATGATGTTAATCCATTTTTTAATAACACCAGCATCATGAATTTATTGAGTGTTTTTAAGTTTTAGACTCTGAACCTGTCAGTGTTAAGCCTTAAGGTGTGTTCTATTATTTGATCATCATTCCATTAAAATAAATAAATATGTAATAATCACATACTGTGCTGAACTTATCTCGATCAAACATGGTACAGTACATCACCATTAATTCACAATGTCTTTTTTCGTTAATTTAATATTCTTACAAGGTACACTTATAAGCATGATTGGTGATCTTTGAACTTTCATTATACAAGTTATATGAGCAGAATTGTCAAATCAATATTAAGACTATCACCATGATCACTGTAAATAATTATGAAGATCAAAATATACCCACCTCTTAAGTAGCTGACCCGATAACCAACTTCTTTGAGTCTCCTCAGCAATAGGACGAATGGAGTATCTGAGTTTGCATTGATGTTGCTCGAGTTCTCATCATATAAAATGAGAGGAACTTTGCTGGCCATTTTCACGAAAAGGTCCTTTCCTTCATCCCCTTGAATCAGACATTTCAACGACAGGTTCCCCTTCTGTAATCTCCGAAGAAGAATTCCCGGTAAGCAAACGTTCAGTGCTCCTTCTATATGCGCCCGACAGAAGGCCGAGTTAGGTCTGTAGTCCATGAGGAGAACTTGGCCGGACAAAACTTGCTCCTGTACCGACTTGGAACTGGTCCCGAAAAGTTCTGAGTCTTCCATTCCGAAGGACGACCTCTCAGGAGTCTGAGCGGGCATTATGTTCCTTGGTATCCCCCGAAGAAATCGGGTGGAATATTATTCCAATCACGAGAAAACGACGATGCTATCTCAGGCTTCTATTCGGATATGAAGAGGAGTTGATATACCACGATGAAGAAGAAAAGATGAAAACGTTTATAACTTGTGCACTTGTCATTGAGCGCGTATTCCTGATACTAGAAATCGAGAGGTACACGGATACATATGGTGACTGGTATCAGTACACTGTGAGGGGTGCAATGCTATGCTGTATGGGTCGATGTGCATGGGGTACGGTGCAGAGAAGTTTTGAACACTGCTCCTTGTGTAAACATCCCAAATAAATTAGACGCGGGTTTCGGATGAGTGTACTGTATGGTTGACCCTCTCTGAGTAAATATCTCCCACATTGACTAGTTTTCGCTAGGCAACATGCAGCGGGAAACGACTTGGCTTTGGGATCTTCTCTCAATGAATGAACAGACAATTGCCGATGCCGCTACTGCTCGCATACAGAATCTCTCATAAGTCGGAAAGGGAGAGAAGATACACTGCTCGCACCGTACCATAACATGCATGCAGCTCAAATGCGAGTAGTCCATGCACAATATTACCGATGAGGCTTTGCTCGCTTGCCAGGCAGTACGGCGCACTTTTTGATCTCGTATGATCGACAAGTAATTTGATCATGATCGGAAGTCACTGAAAATAGGATTAGGTACGGACCAATCAGCAACGGCGACACGGCAACGTCAGGCAGGTTCGGAATCTGCAACCATGGCAACCTTTCGAGTAATCCAATATCGGCCTTCCGGAGTCGTCCAAACCTATTTGTAGGGGAGACACTCCTCATCCATTAGAAAGGGACACCTTTTGCTTCAAAATAGAGAACATGGGAATGGGAGAGAGGAAGAGAGAGAGAGAGAAAGAGAGAGAGAGAAAGAGGGAGAGAGACAGACAGACAAAAAGTCAGAGGGAGTATATATGGAGGTAGAGAGATAGGGGGGGGGGGGCAGCTGGATGTTAAGAAAAACAAAATTTATTACATGATTATTATTATTATTATTTCATTTTAATGCTGTTGAACTACACAATGAAAATAAATCGACCCCTGTTGTTATAACTGTTTTCACTTCGTAATGTGCAAAATTAAAAGAAAGTGGCATACCCATGGTGTAGCTTACTAATTTCTTCTCATAACCCTTGATGGTCCCTTAAAATAGAGATACAAATTTGTAGATGAATGTTTTGTCCAGTTTATGTGTTATTGGCTTGTTGCTATGTCGGGAATGTAATATGTATCGGGCTGCATGGCAGTCATCAAGTACAGTCAAGTGTGCATGCCGTTACAGCGCACATTGTTTAGGTACATGTATTTTGTTGTTTCATTTTGGTCCTTGTTCCTCTCATCAATTTGCTTGTAATCGTGGTTTAGATTTTTTTCAATTTTTGCACCGTATAAGTGTGCATTTTTATCCTGACCCCCCTCCCCCTCTTTCTCTCCCTCTCTCTATCTCTCTCTCTCCCTCTCTCTCTCTCTCTCTCTGAAAGGTATGGAAGATCGAGACTTTAGTAATAAATCAAACAAGAAAGAAAAAAGGATGAACGTAAATTATGACGGCCCGTGTCCCTGCAGTACTCCATGACCCCTGTTTATCAGTAATGGAATGGTCCATTTATATTTGCCGGTGGAATGGGGGCTGGCCTTACAGTCCTATCCTTTACTGTCTTTTGAAAGACGGCTGCACATTCATGTCCAGCAAGCGATAACATTTATCGTCGAGTAAAATGTAATCACTCACGTTGTCTCTCTCTCTCTTCTGGACATTTCCGGGCTAAATCTCGTGAGAAAATAATGTTACTATGCCTAGATAATTATGACTGTCAATACTGTCGCTATAATGATTTTGTTTCCTTAGCATGCATGCGTTACTCTTTTTCCTTTTCTCTCCCCCCCCCCCTTTCTTGGGGGGGGGGGGGGTAGTATAAGGAAGACAAAATGTATTTAAATAGAGCATAGAGATTAAATAGAGCAAGTGTGTGGATTGGAAAGTGGTAGTAGTAGTAGTAGTAGACTATTTAATAACTTGTTTATCATAAAAACCTTTACCTTAAAGGTACTATGTCCCATTTGCAGTCCAAAAAATAAAAAGGTTAAATTTTAACGGCATTTGAAAGATAATACCAATTTAGAGCTTCCCTATAAAAAGGGGGGCTTAAAAATGTCTTTAAGTGGGAAAATAACGACTATTAGTTGTCGAATCTACTTAAGTGCTACCAAGTCAGTAAGTAATAGTCTGATTTTCAGGCCATTGTACCGTTGAATGGTCGAACGTTTTGTGCTGCGCAAAGATTCAGTTTAATTTTGGCCATTACAAGAAGTGGGTTATTGATGTAGACAATAATATTGCTCATGTACCCTTCAAAGCTCATTTTATGTATGTTATTTACCAAAGAAGAAAAAGAAGCCAGTCAGTCACTCAATAGTGTCTGACTAATGTCCGATTTCACCTAATCGGCTCAAGATCGGCCCCCGATCCAATGATCAGTTACAAGGTTATAAGTCTAGCAAGAAAACGAGTTTCCTTGCATAATTTGAATATTAGGACACTCCTAACGTTTAAATTTCACAGATAGGACATACATGACATATTCATAATTCCTGCAAAATTCTACAGAATTTGACGTTGGCTGCAAAAAGGACATAGTATCTACAATATCACTGTCACAAGATTTCAAGACGAAAATGCTTGTTAAGATATCTTTACAGGACTTTACAAGTTTCCACGTTAATTAGATAACATCCGCGGTGGTTAAACACCGGATTATCTTTAATACCACACCATATATTTAAGGACAGGTTATATTTAAAAATAGGTTACCGCCGAGCACGTCTATCCTTCCAAACGTCAGGCCATCGGTTACTTTCCCACGGCGATTAGTTATTTTTTTCATTACCGCAAATTAATATTGAACCTCTAATGTGGAGGGGATTAAAAACATTACAGAAACTGTAATTTCGTTTTGAAAAAGGTGAGCCCCCGTTTGATTGGATTGCGAAGTATATGCAGTTCGATGAGGAAAAGATGTTGGTGGCATCAATGTCGGTTCTAGAGGGTTTGGGATGGGAAGGGGGCTCAAACCCTTTCAATTTTTTTTGTCAAGCACAAAGCCCCTCCCCCACCCCACACACACAAAAAAAAAGGTGACAAGTGACGAAATGGGTTTATTAAATATTAATTTAATTTCACAACTTGACATGGTTTTAAGCTTTTTAAAACACATATTTTCATAGGTGCATCATTCTGTAGTGTCGTTTCTCTCCATATTTAGAAGGGGAAAAAAAAACAACATTCGACTGCACCCCTACCCCTAAAAAGAGCACCAAACAGGTTGGAATGGAAAGTATAACGTCGAAGACATCTCTCAAAATCTCTCTAGGGGCGACCGTCACATTGTCTGTAATTTTACCCACTCCCATGATTATATGCCAACCTGTGTCTAGACAATTTGTTAGTGTGTCATTATTTAATTTCAAATAAGATGTTTCTATATTGAAATATCGATATGATCATTTTTGCTGACGAACCTGAGCAGATACTATAGCCCCTCTCAACTCACTGCACATTGTATGCCCCATTCAATTTATTAGCTCAACATACGTGACGTCTGATTTGACACGGCAGAGTAATTTGATCGGCATGACAAACGAAAATATATTTTTTATTCATTTACTGGATATTGCAGAGATTAGTTTGGGATTCATACATACATCGTGTATTTCCAAATTATTCTTAAAATTACACATTTTATTTCATTCACCGTTTTTTGACAATCAACAAAAAAAGCAAGTTATTTTTAATGCGATGACTGCTGCAATTTATAGTATGTAAGCAAACTTTGACGCCATTATAATAATCGACTAGTACCATGGTTGTAACTTCCTATTTTCCTTCCGTCCTTCTTTACGACCATGAAATTGGGTCCATGGTCGATTAAATTATCAACTTCATTCACCTTTTTATGGGTTTTGATCGTTGTGCCATAGTTCGTACCTGAATGATACAGCTTATCCTGTCTTATTTTATCCGTATAGTTTTCTAAACAGTAAGCTGTATGCTATTAAAAGAGTATATATGAAAGTTAGGTAAGATGCATTTATAGCTTCGTAATCTTCTGTGGTGACCTTCCAGTTATATTATGCCCGGAAACATTTTATCAAATTTAATCCGATTGTCAGAATCAATTAGAACAAAACGTAGTTGACATAGCCATGTCTAAAGTCCGAGCAACACTCGGGGTCTCGAACATCAAAATGACTTTTAATGAATACTTTATGTAAGTTTGAAATTTATTGAGGAAATAAAACGAAATAAAACTTACAATGAAACGAAATATCTTGCAGTGTCTTTAGATAGCACAGAACGAATACTTTTGTTATTTATTGGAATAATATGCACTTTAATGATAGCTTCATTAACTTTTTATATCTTAATTTTCAGACACCTTACTGTTCGTTCTAATTTTGTGTCATAATTTTACTTACTATAATTTATTTGATCTAGATGATTATGTTTATAAACCCAATATTGATGAAAATCGATATAATACTAATCGAACACATTGACGACTTACTTATTTCTATTGCCAAATTAACCAGGATATATAGGATATTAGGATATCTCCCTATAGAGACTGTGAATGAACAAATAGAAGGGGGCGTGGTCGTGTTTTGAAACTCATCATGCATGCTCTTTGAAAATGCTATAATTATTGGAGAAAAATAAGTTTGTTCTGCTCAAACAAAATTATTGTCTATTTTGAAAAGCATTGCCGTAATGATGTATGTTTATGCAATATCAGTGTGCTATTGCGTGTAACTTGGCTTCGCTTGCAAAATACCTGTAACATGATTGTGTAGCAAACACTGGTCTTTTGTTTCCGACGCACCGGTCGATACCACTTTATGTACACGGCCCAACAGCCATGAAAGGTAATCGGATATTGCTCATAGACATAATCCTATACCTATTATCTAACTCCAATCAATTGGAACATTAAACGAGAGGGGGAGATAGAAATAAAGAGAGAGAGAGAGAGAGAGAGAGAGAGAGAGAGGGAGAGAGGGAGAGGGAGAGAGAGAGAAAAGAGTGGAAAAGGGGGGGGGGGGGGTAGGAAGGGATAGGTGGGGGAAATCGCTATTTTATCACACTCTACACTCTGGTGTTTCGCAAAACACTCTTACACAGTTACACTCTTATATTTCTGGGTAATATTGCCCAATATGACGACAATTATTATGTATCCCCCTTTTTGACCAACTTTGAGCGGATAAAGGAAGTTTACAACACTTCGCTCATTGGCGCCGTTTGTAGAAGTTCATCTCGATCGGATTAAAACCGAAATCAATGGCGGATTAGCAAACCATTAAATAGCGCATTGTGTACAAGCGACTGGATGTGGTAGGACAACAACAACAACAACAGCGACTGGATGTGGTAGGGTCAGGAATAATGGGTTGATTTTATTCAGTCTGAGCTATAGGTTTAATCCGCTCACAATAAATAATTGAACCCTGTTTACGCTGCCCGAAAGTTGTGTTTTTATCAGACAGTCATTTCCCCTTTTCAAGTTCATGAGTAGTATTACCCCCCAAAAAA